AAACAAACTAAATTGTCGGTGAGGATGTGCTCAGTGTTCGTTGTGTCTATCATAACGCATTAACAGGATGTTTAGCTTCCAGTTGCTGTTTTCATCTTTTTTCATTGTAGCGCATTATGCTAGCAGAGGCAGGTACAGCAGTCTGGTCATTTGTGTTGCTGCTACAGCCTGTCTTTATCTGAGATTTTAATTCTGTTTTGTTCTTGTTCTTGTCTTTCCCATAGTATGTAAGTCATACTAAATAAAAGACTAAAACTATAACTAAAATGAATGAAAACCAAACTGAAACTAGCATTGTGAAAAAACAGAAAACTACACTAGCTTACAAATGTTAAAATAAATTGAAACTAAAATAGAATTGAAAAACAGCATTAAAATAAAATAAAATTTGAAATCTATTTAAACCTTGGAAGTTGCACCGTAAGCTCATTCTTAAAATATGGCGTATTAGCCGTCATGCTGCGGGGCTGTCTGTCATTAGTTGCATAAACGACTTGAAATTTGTGGCATTTTTAATAAGGACATTTCTAAATGTGTCATCGCTGCAGCAGGTTGATAATCCATGACTAATGGCTGAATTTCAGCACCTATCCAGGAGTGTTTGTCAGTCCTGGCAGCTCGCACTAGAACAAACGGTACTTAGGAAGCTACTGTTATAACGCACTTGTTTTGTTATTGCTGTAAAACAGTTCATTTGAAGAACAAACTGACTCAGAAAAGGTTCAAAATGAACATTTTATCATGGATAACTTGATCCTTAAACCCAAATCCCATCCTTCTATCTGCACGCAGTATTTACTGGATGAAACAAGCATTTCATGTTTACTCAGGGACTAAAATGACCTTAAATATCTGACCGAGTCAGAATTTGAAGTGGAAAAACCTAAAGTTTTCATATAAAACTTTAAAATCCAAGATGGCTGCCTTGCACATTTATCCTTAATGCTTAGAAATATGAGAGCAGATTATTTGCACTAATGATTATATGTATCTCATTAAATCTCTCTGCACTCCCTGCATGCTATGTTAGAGGAAACGTTTACGAACCAAGCTAATAGTCGTTAGCCTGGTTCCCTAACATGTCTTTAAAGAATCCGGCTGGTTTTGAAACATCGGTTGATATTTTTCTGCATGAAACAAGATCGACAGATGGGTGCTGAGGAAAATAAAGAAAAGAGACGTGGAAATAGACAAAAAAAGATGTTTTAGTCGAACTGAAAAGCAAACGGGCTAATTGATGTCTTTTACAACTGATATATAAAAATGGACATCTGGCCAAACAGGCAGTTTAGGAATCAGTAAAATAGTCAAATGTATAACTTGATTATAATTGTCCAAAATATAAATTAAGTACATGTAATTCAGTTATGCTAAATTGTATATAATGGTCACTTTAAAAATTGACATAACTTCATACCCTAATACAGGATTAATTCATGAAACCTGAGGATAACGGCTCCAAGGATGCAGTAAACTGAGTTTTCCATATTTAGCTGAATTTGAAACACAATAGGACATAAAAGTAGAGATGCAGCGATCCAATACCTGGATCAGATATCCGTAGTTTGATATGGGATATAAGAGATCCAATCCAGTGCATTTTATATGGAACTGTTATATATTTATTTTTGCTGCTTATTTATTAGTAAATAAAATAATATTCATTAAAATCTGTGTTACTTTGTTACCTTTTTTGAACAATGTTTACTTCGAGGCTAAAGACTTTACACACATGGCAAGATATATGGTTCATCAATTTGACAGACGGTATCGGATATCAACCCAGATATCGGTATCAGATCGGGTCGGTAAAAACTGGATCAGTGCATCTCTACATCAGAGCGATGGTTTAAAAGAAAAAAGAAATACTTTCTACCACTGATTTGTTAATACAAGAAAAGGTATAGTGGCTCATAAAACAACACAGCAAAGGGAATTTGGATTTTATTGCTATATATGAAAGACTTTAATCCTAAAGATGCAATGATTCTTAAAAGATACATGTTACAGATCCATTTCTAACTGTTTAATTTCTGATATTGTTTTCTTGTTATATAGAAAGGGCCAGTGGTCCCTGGGACTGGTTAGTAGGGCCACTTTCCATGAATTTGCTCTATTTGAAATGCTAAGATCATAACAAGTATAGTTCTTGTTCAAAAACATGTTTTGACTCAATTTATATTCCTGTTTGAGGAGAAAATAAAAAATAATCAACACACAGATTTTAAATGTTATTATTCCTTAGATGCCTGGTGTCACTATTTAGCTTCATACCTAATTCTACACTATAGTTGCAATGTCTAAATTGATTAAATTTGTGTATTTCATCATCTGAATGATAAAAACACAAATAATATTGTTTTTTGAAAAACTGGGTCTAAATTCAGACAATTAAGGGGTTTATGTATGTTAAGATCAAACTATTGGGAAAGATAACACTGTAAAAATGATTCTTAGAAGCGATTTTAGGCTCTTTGCGAATGTTTCTGTCGCTCTTAAATCATGGTTGGTTATTTTTTCCATGCTACCTGCTGCAGTGCTGCTACCACCTCGAATGAACCTACTTCTCTCTCCCACATCACAACGGCTCCCCCTCCTTCCCATGTTTTCCCTCTCCCTCCATCAAAAACCCACCCGCATTAAAATAGGAAACAGGCCGTTGCGGCCTGCGTGTTATTTGTTAGTTTTTCTCTGATGACGTCTTTGCTGTGTTGCTCCGTCAAACCGCAGTCATTTCCGACGCTGCCATTGTTGTTTCTGCTCGCGTTGCCAAACCGTGTGTAATCACATGTGTCAGGTCGCTCCTCATGAGGATAAGTGTTTACTTAACCGCAGCCATGTCTGTTTCAGGCCCAGCCTAGGCAGACCTGGAGATGTCGAAACACTTGTGTTTGATAGCCCTCTTAACGGCCTTGTTAGCGCTGGACGTCCGTTTTTCTCTGCGCCATTAAAGTTTAAATATATCTCCTTTTTAATCATGTAATGAGATCTCTCAGCCTGTTTCCGGATCTGTGGCTCTGGGGAACCACATGGTTTGGCAACCACAATCTGGAACCACTACTACTAATGCTGAGATATAAAAAGACCACAGCAGAGGTTTAGGAAGTGTGTGATGATGTATTTTAGAGCTGTTTGTATGTGTGTGTTGGACTTTTGAACCCCAGGTAAAGCAAATTCCCACATGTCACAGATAACTTTTTTTTTTCCAAGTCTTTTTATGTGACCGCACCTCATTTAGGCCCATGCATGCTCTCCCATTACAGTTCTGATGAAACAGGGGAGAGGCTGTTGCAACACCGAGCTGCAAACCACTTGAGCTCTTTTTGACATGAAACGCTGGATCAATACTTCATCCGCCCCGGGCTTCTCCCCAGGGCCATTTTTTCTCATGCTGACATGCGAGGATGGTATTTTTGGCCCGACTGTTTAACGTTCGCTTGAATCGCTTCGACCATTAGGTGTTTTAACCCGCTGCCTCATTCATATTGAGTGTTGGCAGATGTCAGACAGTAAAGAGCGTGTGATGAGATGTTGATGAAACGGCTGCTGTTTGTTTTCACGCCAACTTCTGCCAAAAGCTTTTCAGGGCTTCTGCGGAGCATGTCGGTGTCAAGAATAACGCCTACTGACGGCAGATTGTAAAGACTGCATGATCACACAGACACACACAGGTCAAACTCAGATGGCTTGTTTTTCTTTGGTCAGAATGCAATGTCGACTTTTCTTTCAGAAAGGGTTTTTGTGTTTCACAAAACTTAAGCTCACTGTTCAACATGTGGCAGGTATAGATTTTGATCCGGACATTTTTACATAACACTTACGTGACAAAGAGGTTACATCGTGTCTTGCAGAGGTATGGGAAAGCCTTTGGTACAGTTCAGGATTTTATTTGCATTATATCTGATTGAGTAGTGTTGTACTGCTTAATAAGAAAACTGGAGGAAAAAATACATGTTTTTTAAGCATTTATATGCAGAATCACTTAGACAACAAACTGTAAAATGCCATTTTTCAATTACAGAAGTTTTTTACAAGTTTACCCCTTTTTTTCCATCGAAAAAGGAAAGGTGTGGGAATTAGGTTGTGACTTTGACTAGGCCAATGGGTACCACTTTGGAAATGTAATTGCAAAAACCAAAATGACCAAAACCAAAATGTTGCAAAACACGGTTAAACTCAACAATCACTCTTTAATTTGGTCATTTAACAGGAGATGATAGTTTATTTTATTGAGATTTGCAATGGAAAGCTTTGACAGACATGATTTGTTCTGATCAACAGCATAATGCTGCCACCATTGTGTTTCACAGTGCAGTGGGAACATTCAGGGTGCTTAGAAGTAAGATTTACACACGTTTGGACTCTTATTAACTTTGAATTATTTTCATTTAGAGACTAGAGGATTATTATAGGATATACAACAAAGTCCGCTATTCTGCTTTTACATTTGTTTGATATTTTTATCATTTCCTTTACAGGTTGTGATTCCATTTTTATCCAGGATATAGAGACACTATTTGATGCAGTTTAAATCATATAAAGTGAATCTCAAACCACATTGTTTTTCTCCTGCCCTGAAAGGATTCTTATCACTCTAAAAATCACATGAAAAACTGAGGGGGAGGAGGGTTGCGGGGGATCTTCAGAGCCTCGTTTGAATGCAAATCGTCCCTATTTGCATCCTGATATTCTCACCTGTCATTGCCCTGTTTTTGTATACATGCCAAGATATGTCCGTCTCTCTCTTACTGTAGAATACTTGTTATTGTTGTTTTGAGTCTGTGTTGGGCTCTGGATTGGGGGGTGCTAGCAGGGTTTCTGGGGTCAGCTGGTCTGGTCTCAGTCTGACAAGACTTCACTGCCACCTAGTGAGGATTCAGGACCAATGCATCTGTTTGCTTTGCTGTAACTGACCTGCAGAAGTTGGTAGCAGGTTCCTCTTTACCAATACAGAAGAAGTGGTTGTGTTTATGTTTAAATTCTGTTTTCTCCTCCCTCAGGCTCGCATAGCGTTGGAAAAGGGAGCCCAGGCTGTTATCTTCGACGTCAGCGATGACGCCAATGCGCCTTCTGAGGTAAATATGCTGTAACTTCTGCACTCCCTGAGAATAGAAATAGGACGATAAGGCCTGTGGAACAAACTCCTCCCTTCGTTTGATTCTTCTCTCTGTCTCTCTTTTGCATCTTCTTTATTTAACTACATCTTCCCACACCCCCCAGCTGAAGGATACAGACTCCCTCCCCCACCCCGTGGTGCTGATTAAGGGAAGGGATGCTGAGGACCTGATGAACCTGGTGAACAAGAACGAGGAAGCCACAGTTAACATTGAAACCGAGGTGGAGCCCAAATGGGTAAGAACCGACCGGATGAAAAAAAAACAAACAAAAAAACTAATTTTCAAATGGATTTAAAACAATATATAAAACAACCAAAAGGAATCCAAAGCAGTCTGAGGCTGAGACGTGTTCCTCACTTTGCTTTACAGCCACATTATGATGTGAGCATCCTGCTCACCATCGTCCTGGTTATTCTCACCATAGTCCTCATCTTTGCTTTCCGCTACAAGTGCAGGTCCAACAGAACCTGGGTGAGTAGCAGCTGCAGCTTTCAGTGTTCTGATGTTGCTCAAAAGTTGTTTTTATGTTGTTGTAGTTTTTTCTTCTACTGACTCTCAATATCTTGCTGTTGTTTAGGACTCCGTCCATCAGCAGACCATGCGGGCCATTAGTCGACTGGAGACCAGAACCTACCGCTCCCAGAGCTGCTCGGGCTCACAGCGCCCCCGTGGGGCCTGGGGTTCGGCCAGCAGTTCTAACTCCAGCCCTGTCTGCGCTATCTGCCTGGAGGAGTTCCAGGATGGCCAGGTAGGGACAGAGCCAGGAGCAGGTTGTGTTTGGACCATAGCTGGACACACATTGGACATTTCTGCTGTTACTCACATAAAAATCCACAAACTTCAAACTCTTCTATCAGACTTTTATGCAACAGACCAACACTAAATGTAACATTTAAACGTGGAAACAAAATTAATGAGTTTTTTTCATGAATAAAAATATGAAAATGGAAAGTTGAGAAGACATCTGCAAACCTTTGAGGGAGGTAAACATCTTGAGGATGAAATATCCAAACAGCAAGCAAAACTCTTTTTTTTTTTACAGCAGTAGTGGCCTGTTTTTATGGACAGTAGGCTGACAGGGATGGGGGTATAAGAGAAAGTGGGAGAGACATGTAGGAAAGGACCACAGGACGGATTTGAACTCGGGTCGCCCGCATCGAGGAATATGGCTTCCACACATGGGTGCACGCTAACCACTGTGCCACCAAAGCACCCCAAACCTCTTTATTTTTGTCATAATCATGATAAGATACCATGATCAAAAGACTAATGGTCCAGGTTTACCTCTAGTACTGGGATAAACGAAAAAACTGTAAAGTAATCAGGTGAATAGTTTCAGAGAAAGCTGGCCAAATCTGTATTTATATCCCGCTTTGTAGTCCAGGGCAAAATAATCGGCAGTCTTAACATGAGCAGGGGTCTGTTTCATGAAGCAGGTTTACTGAAATCTTTTAAGTTTTCTAAACCTGAAAACAGGAGAACTCTGCTTCAGTTACCGTAGTAACATTTTCCCCAGAGCTAACCTGGTCAGCAGCAGGTTTTCTTTAGTAAACTCTCAGTTTCCTCTGTTTCTCTTTCCTAAGAACCAATCATGCTGTTTTATTTCCTGATTTAGTACGATTTTGGTTGTAGTTTTGTGCATAAAAAAAGAAATATATATATATAATTCACTAGGTCCATTGGACAGATGAACTGTCTTTATTTAACCCATCCCCTTGGGGAGCAGTGGGCTGCCACTGTTGATGCCCAGGGAGCAGTCTGGGGTTAAGGGTCCTGCTCGGGGACCCAGAGTGGCAGTCTGTTGGAGTGTGTGGGACTTGAACTCAGAACCTCCGAGGCCTGGCGCAATGCTCTAACAATCAGGCCACCACTCCCCTCAATAACTCTAGTTTTCCTTCACTACTGAGAGCAGTGTAGGACACTGTAGCCACCAGTTAGCCTCATATGCTAACTAGCTTCACAGCAAGACAGACAGGTGCTTTTGTTTTTGTAAATTGAATTTTAACATTAATTAAATTTAAATACACTTTAAACTCTGGATATTATTAGAATATGTGCAGAAATATACAGTATTGTTTTCTTTACATTGTTTTAACATATTTTTTCTATTCATCTGAAAGTTTTATTTTGCTTTGGAAGCATTTTACAATAATCAACGAATCTGCTTCTGTCTTGCTATGGTACCAGAACCTGAGGATCATCTCCTGTCATCACGAGTTCCACAGAGACTGTGTGGACCCCTGGCTGATGCAGCACCGCACCTGTCCACTGTGCATGCACAACATCATGGGTCAGGACAAATGTTGGTTATGGGGCTAAATTAAAAAAATACTAATTTGTGTGTTTATTTTTCTTACCAAATTTAGAAAAGACATTTCTGAAATGCTTCTGTGATTCTGGTGATGTCCACAGGTACAGAGAGGCAGGCTCAGAGGAACAGAAACCAGCAGAGTTCAGAGCAAAGCCAGAGCTTCCTGCATTCTCAGCCTTACAGTAGCCCCCACAACCATCCCTTTCCCCAGCACGCCATCCCCTTCTCTATGAGACCCCACTACCCTCGTGGGCCGTCGGGACCCTATCCCAACCTGGGCCACTACAGCGGCTCTTCTCCCATTGACACTCAGACTCTACATTTCCTCAGCAGTCGGCAGCTGGGTGGTGGCTGTGGATACCACCTTCCTGTGGATGTTCCTGTAAGGCCTCACAGGATCGGAGCCAACTGCAGGACCTCCTCCCATCACTACCCCTCTCGTCGGTCCTGCCACAACTACCGCTCCTCCTGTCTGGCCCAGCGAAACGCCGCCGGCTCCAGGCAGCAGCACGGCGTCTCGGTCCCGCCACAGAGCCGGGGAGGAGCGGCCCACAGCCGACCGGACGACGGGAGCTGCTCTGGGGGCAGCTACCACACAGAGCGCAGCGGGTACTTGGCGGATGGGCCTGCGAGTGATTCCAGTTCGGGGCCCTGGCACGGCTCCTCCAGTGACTCAGTTCTCAACTGTACGGACGTGTCCCTGCAGGGAGTTTATGGCAGCTGGTCCACTTTCCGCAGCTCTCTGAGCAGTGACTATGACCCATTAGGGTATTTTGGGGCGGGGGCAGGGCAGGTCCCCCGCAGAAATAGTATGGAGGCCGGGGCACAGAATCGGCCCAAGTCTCTGGATTCTGTTGTGAATAAAGCAGGCTGTCCGGAGGAACAACCTCAGACTGTTTTCAGCCACATTCACTACCACCGCCACAGACACCACCACTATGAGGAGGGGGAGCACAGCCAGGGGGTGAGCAGAGGCTCAGATGAGGAGCAGGGGGCTGCTGCAGCTGCTCCCCCTGCTCCTGTGCAGAATAAAGACTCCCCAAAACACAGCCCCTGCCACTGCCCCAAACCAGAGCCCACTGACCGGCCCAGCCCGGGGACAGAGCGACAGGACCACAACCAAACCGGACCTCCTGTCATAGTCCCCTCAGTCCCGCTACAGCTCCAATCCCACTGCTGCCACCAGGGACACGGACACCACACCGCTCCTCTGGGCCGAGTGGGAGGCTGTCTGCTCGACGGACCCTCAGTTCACTTTCACCAGAGTCTGGACCTGCAGGACGACCACAGCATCCACATCCACTACGGTCAGAGCCCGGGCTTCTGCTGCTCTCCCCCCGAGCTGCACCCGGCGTTACTCCCTGTGCCTCTCATCTTGGACTCGGCAGGAATAGAGGAGTGGCCTTGCTGCTCGGGGGCCCATGTGGTGTGGCAGAGACAGGTTCAGCAGGCTCACTCAGAGCCTCAGCTCATGGGACCAGGAACCTCAATGGACAGGCCCCCCTGCAGGGTCCATCAGGGACCCTCTGCTGAGCGCAGCACAGATGTTTGTTTATACTGCCAATCACTACAGCACAATCAGGGTGAGGATGTTTCCTATGTAGCCAAGCTGCTTGCTAGGCCTTTTTTGAGTAAATTGGTCTTACTCACTTTAGTTATGTCTGTACCTTTGTATTCTTTAAATGTTTTGTTTTCAATCTTTTTCAATTCAGTTCAGCAAGGTTTAAGGAGAAAAGGATGAAAGAGAGAACATACAGTTAGTCACAATAAAAGCTGAGAGCATTGAAAAACAGGCCAAACTCTACCATTTATAATATTAAGTGATGATGGCTGCTGCCCAGTGTATATTTCTCTCCAAAATGGCGTTATAACCTTACAGGGACAGACGGAAGATGGAGCTACTAGGTCAACTTAGATTTGGGGGTGGATTTAACAAATGCCGCAGAATTGGAGAAATTAGATAAAATGAAGCAGAATGATGAAAAGTGGTCCCTATGTCCTCCAGCAGTCTAAGTCTATAGCAGCAGATATATAGAGATAGCTCAGAATAACCTAAGCCACTCTAACTATAGGTTTTATACATTTTGAATCAAGTAACTTATGTTTAAGTGTGTTTTAAGGAATTTAGCAACAATAATCATGTAGCAGCAGTGCCATTTATCACTTGTAGCCAGATAGTTTTATCATTTCAAGCTAAGGCTACACATGTGGTGGGTGAAAGGATGTTAGAATAGTCTACTGTGAAATATTCTTCATTTATATGATTTCAGAGTCCTGCAAAAAATGACACACACATAATTATAGAAATATTACCTTTTGTGACGATACAGTTTTTTTCCTGGTTGTCGCTAGTAATGTTGGCAATGTACCTTTACGCTAATTGCTTTGTTCTTAAAATTAAAAAAATGGTTACAAAGTCATCATAAAATAACTGAGGTTAACACAGTCATAAGCAGTAATATTATATACAATTATTATTAACATTAAATTTGACGTGTTGCATGAGCCAAGCTAATGTTAGCTTCACTGTTCACTGAGAAATGTGAAGCTTGAATGAACCTTTGCTTACAGTTGAACATTTATATTTACAGTCAGATTGCAGCTACTGTTTAGCATTTTTCCTTTTAGGTCTAGCCATCAGTTGATGCAAGAGATGGCTGTTGAATAGCAAGTCAGAATATAAATGAAGATATTAGCAATTAGCTGAAAGATTATTTGCAAATATTTGTAGCTTTAACTAGAAATAAAACAGTACTGTTTCAGAAATCAGGATTTCCCAAAAAGTAGCCAATCACAGGCGCTTCTGTTTATCCAGGGGTTCAAAGTGACAAATGTAACGTAGAAACATTTCCGCACACGAGTAAGAGAGAATCTACAGGTGCACACTGCAAAAATCAATCTAGAAATAGGTAAAAATTTTCTTAATTTAAGGGTATTTACTCTTCATTTAAGTAGGTAAATTAGATGATTTGCCAATGGAATTAGTACCTTTACTCTTGAAATAAGATACGCACTTGAAATAATGCAATTGTTTTGTTTTTTTCTTATTTTAAATGTAAATTGTCTTGTTCCATTGGCAAAGTGTCTCACTTACCTCCTCAATTCGGACAAAATTCACTTATTTTAAGAAAAACTTAGATTTCAATATTTAGCAGTTCATAAAAGGCAAACAACGAGCACAGAGGCGAGCATGCACTCGTGTGTGACATGCGTAAAATATTAAAATGCGTGTGGAGAATAGTTTATGTGCGCTCGTATATCATGATATTAAGCATCTACACTTTTTGGCAGAATTCTGACTTCATACATTTAGCTCAGGCACAGAGAAGAAAAAAGAGGAGGAGTTGTTGCTGATGGAGGATCGTAAAGCTGATTACATCACTGGAAAAAATCCAAATCTAGATGAGTCATTTTTTCTTAAAATAGGTGCATTTGTTCTTGGATTGAGGAGGTAAAAGAGACATTGCCAATGGAACGAGACAATTTAGACTTAAAATAAGGAAACACAATTGCATTGTCTTATTTCAAGTGCGTATTATCTATTTATCTTATTTTAAGAGTAAAAATACACATTCCATTGGCAAACTATCTCATTTACCTACTCAAATTAAGGGTAAATACACTTAATTTAAGACATTTTTACTTATTTCTAGATTGTTTTTTCCCAGTGTTATGTTCTCTGAAACACCCCCAGTTGGCTTGGCAATTTAGTTGATAACATCATGCTCAAGCTAGCCATCATAGCTTTGGCGTAAACGGCATACTAATACTAAACCCAGGAAGCCTGGGTTTAGTATCCAAGCTGGGGGCAATGAGCTGCCAGCGTGTATCATTCATGCTAATGCCTGCTTTGGGGAGTGGTGGCCAGTGGTAAGGGCGATGTGCTTGGAACCCTGACGTTCCAGGAAGTTTGAGCCACACTGCCACTCTGGGTCCCTGAGCAAAGACCCTTAACCCCACGCTGCTTCCAAGGTGCCGCACAATGGCAGCCCACTGCTCCCCAACGATTAGGGTAACTGCAGAGATAATTTCGTTGCTCTGTATTTGAGACAGTGTAATGACAATTTAAAAAAAAAAACCGGCAGTGTTCAATTAAACCAATAAAGCCGTAGCTTTATGAGTCTATTTTAATTTATAACTTTTATGGGTCAATGCCTCTAAAGTCAGAGGCAGAGTTAGCTTGTTGTTGTTGTTGTTTTACCTGCATAATTTAAAGAAATTGAGAGTCCTTGCTTTGGAAATCCAAAATTGATCATAACCAAGCTGTGTTTTTGTTGTAAAAATACGTTTGTTGCCATAAAGAAAAATGACCTTATTGATGATATCTGATAAAGGAAAGCGAAGCTCAAGGCGTGACATGAACATTAATAATGCAGTGAAACTTAACTGTATTTCTTGGGTGTTTTTAATGCTATATTCTCTTGTGCCCACAGGATCAGAAGAGGAGTCTGGGGTGTGAGACTTTTTCTCATCCCTATCGCTGCCCAAGGAGCCACAACGGAAAAAGTTCTTCCTAAATTTCACCAATAATGCCTTTAATTCAAGCAATTTCCCAGCTGCCTTTTCAGGAGGATTCCCATCTTCAAATAATGATATATCTTGCTTTTGAAAATAATAACAAAATATTTGATATATGTTTTAGTTTCCCAATCAACCACCAATGGTCCTGCTTTGGGGCGTTGAGCCCACATGAAGTGAGACTGCATCACCTACTCTTTTTCTCGTTTTTTTTTTTTATACAGTGTAACTTGATTTCTTGTAGAGGTACTTCCCATTCATCTAAGCAGTCTTTGCCTTCCCGCCCGCTCGCAGCTGAGAAAAGCTTTTCTCTCCATCCTACCTCAGCTCAGATTTCTTAAAAAGCCTCACACAGGGGGTCTCTAAAGGTACTGCTGTAGTATTTTGATGTATTGATGTAGCTTCCACAAACTCAACCAATAGTTCCCTTTTTGGCCGTCTGGATTGTTCAAAAACGGAGAGAAAGCTTTTCATGCTCAGCCCCCAAAAACCAACGACGAGCATTGGCTGAGGGTCGCTCAGCCTGGCACGGGCCTCAATCTTTCATTATTTCAGTAATGGCAGCTGTTTTGGTCTCTTTTTTTTCTATTTTTGTTGTTTGCAAGGTTTTTATCTCTTTAAAACCAACCGGTTTGACTGAATTATGTGATGGTCATTACAAGCTATTGTCATGTTTTGTTTATCATTTCTCGTGCTTGTGGTTACTTCAATGCTGCTCAAAGAAAGGCTTCATCGGACGGAGAGTAATCACATCCTCTGATTTTTTTTTAAATCTTTTTAATTCAACCTGCCTTTATACTTTTCATTGCCAAGATTACGATTTCCTCTCGTCTTCCTGTAAAACAAAACATAGCTGCTTGTAGTATAACTGCAGTAAAGCCATGTAACGGTACCTGGTAAAAGTATTCACCTTGTTGACATTTCCAGATGTTCAAACCACAAATTGTCATATTAGGATTTTTTTTTATGATAAACCAATACAAAAAAAGCAATACTGTGAAGTTTAGGGAAACATGGTTGAAGGATGAGTATTTTAAAAAGGTGTGTGCATTCAGCCCTGAAGTCAAACAGAGTCAATAACATTTAAAGTCGGTTACAAAATCACTTAGTTTTATAAAGGTCGTATATCAGCTCTTATGGGGATGATTAGAAGACTGTTGTTAAGCCAGCACTGTTTAAGTTTTACCCCAATTTGCTTAATTTGAGAAACGATGAAGAATTTTTAAGGTCAATATACAGCATGGTGGGTATTAAAGCTCCGATGCTAATTTAAGAGCTTTGGATCCATTGCTGAATGAGTCATGTGACCCAGAGAGCTGCTTTATAACACTTGGAGCTAAACTTAAACACCAGAGCTAACCTTACATGCCTCTACTGGCCCAGGGAAGCAAATTGCGGAACACTATGGCTGTGTCCGATTGTCCGCCCTAACCACTGCATACGGCACTATAGAGTGTCCGAATATATAGTGGATGATAAAGTAGTAGACTCAAAATTTCCCACAATGCACCTTGAAAAGTGGGGATCATCCATGATCACAAGACGAGGTGATATAACTTGGAATTCTTTGTGAGGAGAGCTCTCCTCGCAAAGCATCATGGGATTTGTTGTCCCACTGTCGCCCATGGCTGTTGCTACCCGACAGTGGCGACAAATAATATAGATGGGGCGCTGTTCACTATAAAGTCCACTATATAGTATAGTGATTGAGGGATCTAGGGGTTAGGGCGGACGTTCGGGCACAGCTTATGTCTGAGGAAACCAAAAAAGAAATGCGTGACAGATATCGCCCTTGAAGACAAAACAAGAGTTAATCTAGCTAAAAAAAATGTAGGTCTTTGGTGCTGGATAAAAGGGGAGTTAGGATGTTAGACTGGTAAATTAGCTTTTTATCTACTGCATATGTCAGAGTGTATTTTTCCGTTTTGGAGGAGCTAAATGCTAAGCTAGCAGGCTACACAACAGTATGAATAAAAAAAAAAAACAGACATGACCTTTTTGTGATCAGATATATGGTTTGGTTCTCTGACGTAGGATTTAATCAAAAGGGTTGAACTTGTCTTTAACAGTAACTCCATAACTTCTGCTGGTCCAAAATGGGCTGAAACCAGATTCCAAATCACAGAGACGATGGTTATTTCTTTAGCAGTGCAGTGTTGCCAGTCTTCTTTTAGAGATTTGAACCTCAAAGTTCCAGGTTTAACACCCCCAAGTGGCTGAACGTTTTATAAAGCTGCTTTAGGAAAAGCATGGCTGAATTCGAATTCAGGGGCTGCGTCCTCCAAAGGCCAGATTCGTAGGCTAATTATGTCACAGCGCGGCGCCGAGGCCTGGTTGGATTCGTAGAATCCTCATTATGCGGCCGACAAATGTAGCCTTCTTTTCGCCTTATCTAAAGGACCGGTCCGGTGTATCCTACGTAGCCTTGGATATCCCATGATTCATTGCGAGTCCAAGCAAGCTGGTTGTTCCGTGACCAGAGGAAAAAGATACTTTGAGCCAAATTGTGGTGAATATTGGAAGTGCAGTTTAATATAATAGAAGTATGTGAATATTTCCGTCTGAAATTAATGAAAATAGTTCTTTTAAATAGTTATTGAGTTAGATATTTGGCGGGTAATATTTGGTTTATTGAAATGTTTTTATCTGTCCCTGTGTAAATGGGCAGGGCTAATATTTAAGGACAGATTCTAATACACCTGATTGTTGGGGACTATAAATCTGATATGATGCAGCTGTTGAAGCTCCTCAAAAATGTTATCAACACCCAGAACAGCAGTGAGAAGTTCGGTATTCTTTCTTCTCCTGCTTTTGTTTGTCAACTGTCACCGTTGCTAGGCGACAGAGCATACGGCGATAAAAGCCGCGGAAGGCTTTTACCGCCAATAAGGCAGATAAATCGGGTCCTTTGAGGATGCAGCCTTTGAAATCAAACACACCCTATAAGTGGTGCTGTTTGGAGTTTTCCACATGCCGTTTAGGAGCCAAACGTGTGGAAAAGGATCCTCTGGTCAGTCAAGAACAAAATGGAAGCATGGTGGTGGCAGTATCATGCTGTGGGGAAACTTTGCTAGTGCTGCTGGGTAAGATGGATAGAGATTAGTCAGTTAAAGTTTAACCTCTGGTGACATTCAATTTTCAGTCAGGAAGCAACTAGAACGAGGAGAATCAAACTACAGAATATACAGCAGACTTAAAAATGGCTGTCTGTGGATTCTCTCCCTTTAGTGTCTGAGCTGTTTATTCATGAAATAACTGAAGAAACTTTAGGTGACCAAAGCTGGTTAAGGTATACACCAACTGACTTCCATTTAAAATGGCTGATAATAAATAACTGCCACACCTTAAGATCTTTATTTGCAAAAAAAAAAAAGTTAGAAAAACCACTTAACAACAAGGCTCCACTTTGTATAGGTTGATCAACTGGAATAATATGGAGATGAACGTTTGCTGTAATGTAGTAGAATCTGGAAGAGCTAAGGGGGTGTTAATACTTTAGCGGGGTGTTACAAATGGCCTTGTACAGTTAGCCAGTTGCTACGCTGTGGCGCCAGTTCCAGTGCGGGGGGGTTCTCCCTGGTTTCCAACAGTGAAGAAGGTGCAAACACTTTTAGGATGTGATTTGGAAAGATAATCCGAGCAGACCTCAGCAACACTTTTAAGTCCAATAATTTTAACGTTTTGTTTTTTTTTTATGTAAAAAAAAAAAAAAAGAAAAAAATGTGTGATTGATATATTTGTTACCTCTGATTAATCTGCTGACCGTTGGAAAAAAAATGCATTTCAAGAAAACAGCTGAACGCTAAACTGTTTAGAGGAAAGTCAGCCTCACTGCTCCATTTGAATCTGGATTTTCTACTTAAATCCAGCAGAAATAAGCTGAGATCAAACAAATAAGAATCATGTTTAAGCACATTCTCTGAAAGGCTCAGTGAATATGTGAAGGGGATATTCTTGTTTTTTTGTTTTTATTTTCAGCTGCGGCTGAATAAGGGTGTGTGGAAACTGCAGAGTAACCAGTAGCACTTAGTAAAAAAAAAAAAAAAAAAAAAACTCACATGTGCCTTATTTACTCAAACTAAATCAGGAAGCTCCCAACAACAACAACAGCTCTTACCTGCCCAACCAAAGAGGCAAAGTCTTGAACACAGTGTATTTGTCGTGCCTTTTCCTCCCCCTCCCTTCCTTTGGCTTTCTTTGTACGCTGACAAGAGAAAACATGTTCAGATTGAAGTGGTAAAAATTTTGGGCGACCATGCAGAATCTATCACCTGCAGATACCTCACTTTGAATGTGCCTCCAGCTAAAGCACGGGGGAGGGGGCGCTTAATCCTTTTTTTAATTGTGCCCAATCCTACATGGAAATGACTGAATAACAAGAAGCACTTTGGCTATAAGATTTTATACTGAAAGTAAAAATATATATACATATATTAATAAAAACAGATTCTAGTATAGTGCGAGCCAGCCCAAAAATAATAAGCATGTGAAAAGTAGCATTTATCACAGAAAATCAGGCACCATTTCATCCTGTTCAAGATCTTTCTCTTTGTGTTGTTTGTGTGTTTCTGTTTTGTTTTGTTTTGTGTGTGTGTTTGCAAAAATAAGGAGCTGAAACTGCCTTTTCGGTATAAACTCGAGAGAGAAAAAGTGGTCCCTCCAGAAACGTTAAGGGATATATCAGTATATTTTGGATACTTTGTGTACAAAAGAGAACAACAAAACCCAGAAATAAAATAGTGTTGTATTTTATATATAATAGAACAGTTCAATATAGTGACATGTCACTAATATATTTATTTACTAATATATTTATCCATTTTTGTCCAGGTTTGAAAGAATGGTTTCTGTATAGACTGAATGTTTCTGTATAGAAACTGACCGGCGCCATTGCAAATATATCAACCTGTCTTCATTCCAATTATATGCAAATAAATTATTTTGAAGTAAAGATCTGTGAGTTTTTATTTATTTAGCTGAGGTATCATTGGGGGAATATTTTTATAGGTTTATCCCCTATCATTCATCCTTTGCCATGAAATCCTCCTCTACCAGACTAACCATCTATATGTTCTCTTCTCTATGTCTTACAGTTTATATCTAGATCAGCTTTATTTTCCATCTACTGCAGTTTCATTATTAGCAGCATTTCTGTCTAAATCCTACGGAGTGAGGTTTTTTCCATTATTGTTAAAAGCAAAAAACAGATTTTGTCGATGGAAACTGGAAAAATAAAACAAAGAAAAACGCCCAATCCAGAAATAAAACCTTAAAAACTTTTGAGAGTACCTTTTGGCGTTTTCAAAAATGTTATGTTTTGTCTAGTTTTTTTTCAACTTTTTTTTTTTTTTTTACAGATTTAGTACTTCAAAGTTGTTGTTTTTGATATCAAATTGCTTGTTTTCTGAAAGAGTTTTACAAATTTCACTTCAAAAAACATAAAAATACGCATATTAACCAATAGAAATTCTGCTTTTCTTTTTTGCAGATTCCTTTTTTTTTTTTTTTTTTTAACAAAGTTCCATAGAAAAACCTGTTCCTTTCTTTCTAAAGTAATGGAACAATATTCACTCCATAAGTTGCAGAACAGGATTAGGGCCACCGAAAAAAAAGAGTTAACTGATTTTTCTAAATTTTATTTCAGTTTAACATGGGGAAAAAGTCTGAATTCTTTTTTCTCAGAATTCTGACTGAATTCTGACAATAAAAAAAGTCAGAATTTTGAGATTAAAGTCAGAATCCTGAGATTAAAGTCAGAATTCTGAGATTAAAGTCAGAATCCTGAGATTAAAGTCAGAATCCTGATATTAAAGTCAGAATCCTGAGATTAAAGTCAGAATTTTGAGACTAAAGTCAGAATCCTGAGATTAAAGTCAGAATCCTGAGACTAAAGTCAGAATCCTGAGATTAAAGTCAGAATCCTGAGACTAAAGTCAGAATCCTGATATTAAAGTCAGAATCCTGAGATTAAAGTCAGAATTTTGAGACTAAAGTCAGAATCCTGAGATTAAAGTCAGAATCCTGAGACTAAAGTCAGAATCCTGAGACTAAAGTCAGAATCCTGAGATTAAAGTCAGAATTCTTAGACTAAAGTCAGAATCCTGAGATTAAAGTCAGAATTTTAAGATTAAAGTCAGAATTCTGAGATTAAAGTCAGAATCCTGAGATTAAAGTCAGAATCCTGAGACTAAAGTCAGAATCCTGAGATTAAAGTCAGAATTCTGAGACTAAAGTCAGAATCCTGAGACTAAAGTCAGAATCCTGAGATTAAAGTCAGAATTCTGAGACTAAAGTCAGAATCCTGAGACTAAAGTCAGAATCCTGAGATTAAAGTCAGAATCCTGAGACTAAAGTCAGAATCCTGAGACTAAAGTCAGAATTCTGAGACTAAAGTCAGAATCCTGAGACTAAAGTCAGAATCCTGAGATTAAAGTCAGAATCCTGAGACTAAAGTCAGAATCCTGAGATTAAAGTCAGAATTCCCATACTAAACTGAAATAAAATTTAAATTTATTTATTTAAAATTTATCAGTTAACTTTTTTTTTCCAGTGGCCCTAATCCTCTTCTGTAATAAGGCCCTCACAGAACAACTGCATATACACTATATTGCCAAAAGTATTTGCTCACCCATCCAAATTATTGGAATCAGGTGTTCCAATCACTTCCATGGCCACAGGTGTATAAATTCAAGCACCTAGGCATGCAGACTGTTTTTACAAACATTTGTGAAAGAATGGGTCGCTCTCAGGAGCTCAGTGAATTCCAGCGTGGAACTGTGATAGGATGCCACCTGTGCAACAAATCCAGTCGTGAAATTTCCTCGCTCCTAAATATTCCACAGTCAACTGTCAGCTGTATTATAAGAAAATGGAAGTGTTTGGGAACGACAGCAACTCAGCCACGAAGTGGTAGGCCACGTAAACTGACGGAGCGGGGTCAGCGGATGCTGACGCGCATAGTGCGAAGAGGTCGCCAACTTTCTGCAGAGTCAATCACTACAGACCTCCAAACTTCATGTGGCCTTCAGATTAGCTCAAGAACAGTGCGCAGAGAGCTTCATGGAATGGGTTTCCATGGTCGAGCAGCTGCATCCAAGCCATACATCACCAAGTGCAATGCAAAGCGTCGGATGCGGTGGTGTAAAGCACGCCGCCACTGGACTCTAGAGCAGTGGAGACGCGTTCTCTGGAGTGACGAATCGCGCTTCTCCATCTGGCAATCTGATGGACGGGTCTGGGTTTGGCGGTTGCCAGGAGAACGGTACTTGTCTGACTGCATTGTGCCAAGTGTAAAGTTTGGTGGAGGGGGGATTATGGTGTGGGGTTGTTTTTCAGGAGCTGGGCTTGGCCCCTTAGTTCCAGTGAAAGGAACTCTGAATGCTTCAGCATACCAAGACATTTTGGACAATTCCATGCTCCCAACTTTGTGGGAACAGTTTGGAGCTGGCCCCTTCCTCTTCCAACATGACTGTGCACCAGTGCACAAAGCAAGGTCCATAAAGACATGGATGACAGAGTCTGGTGTGGATGAACTTGACTGGCCTGCACAGAGTCCTGACCTCAACCCGATAGAACACCTTTGGGATGAATTAGAGCGGAGACTGAGAGCCAGGCCTTCTCGTCCAACATCAGTGTGCGACCTCACAAATGCGCTTCTGGAAGAATGGTCAAAAATTCCCATAAACACACTCCTAAACCTTGTGGACAGCCTTCCCAGAAGAGTTGAAGCTGTTCTAGCTGCAAAGGGTGGACCGACGTCATATTGAACCCTATGGATTAGGAACGGGATGTCACTTAAGCTCATATGTGAGTCAAGGCAGGTGAGCAAATACTTTTGGCAATATAGTGTATATTTAAAGTGGTCTGAATCCAAAAGTTTGTAGAAAAGTTGGTGAATAAACTCCACTTTGTGTCTGTCTAACGATTAATGCTAAGTATCTTCTAGCTGCTGCTTCATGTTAAGCATGCAGACAAGATATCGGTCTTAATTTTCTCTCTGCTTTTAGCAGACCTTCTTTGTTTGAATGTTTTAAAAAATGTTATTTGACACATTCACATGACTGAGATACAAGCTTTTTTTATTTAGTAAAACAGTTGACATCCTGAAGCAAAGTTGATCAAAAGCTCACAGTTCATCACATAAAGATCTTCACACACTCTCATGTGTTTGACATGCTGCAGCTGTTGTGAGTGTTTTTCATCTGTGTGGAATCGCCTGCAGCCCAGCAGCCTTCAGAATGAGACTCAGTGTGGTGTGAGATCAGCGGAAGGCTTGGGCACTCCCTTCAGGTGTAATCACAGTCAGGTTGCCCCTGGCATCTTGGTCCTTCTCAATGGCCTCAAAGAGAGACTTGAAGTTT